GTCCTATCGGGTGGCATTTAAGCTAGCTCCTGCGGATGGCGCTTGATTGGGCCTTCGTCTTGTTCAAGAGTTTGAGAGTGTCTAAGTCTTTGCATATTCTCAAATTGGAAGCTTTCCTGGCTGCCGTTTGATCTGGGTTTTCATTTGTACAGGACTTTCTTTTCCTTGCTGCAGCCTTGACTCTTTTGATTGCAATCTGATCCTCCGTTAGCGGAAATTTCTTTTTGTGAGGCATACTACTGCCGTATGCGATGGCAACAATAAACTACAGAAGAACACAAAATTGATCGCCGCGTTTCAGTATTCCATTAATATTTAAGTTAACCTTTTAAAAGTTCAACTACTTAATTTAAAAAACTATTATCAGGGAGGAATAGATGCGATAAGCAACAATAAACAACAGAAAAACTATAAAGTGATCGATTCGTTTAAGTATTGAATTAATATTTAAGCTTACCGTTTAAAAGTTCAAGGATAATTATTTTGTAGCCACTTAATTTAAAGCCAATTTGACGGTAGGTACTTATTTTTCGTACAAACAATTCTTTTTATTTCATGGGTGACTTTCGCTGGGTTTTGCAATTAATTTCTATTACTCCCAAATTTATTTCCAAGTTATAAAAACTGTTATCGTACAACAAAAATTCGTCGCAAAAAATCACTTAAAAATCGCCGTAAAAACAATCGCAGTAATGAAAACCTAGGAATCCAAAATTTCTGTAACATGTGCTATTGAAAGTTAGAGAGTTGCGTCCCTTTAATTGAAAAATGTGTGACACTGTGAGACACTAACTTTCGCATTTATTATATAGAAGAAGAGATAGTGGAAGTTGTGTTCCTTTAATTCAAAAAGTGTGACAAACTGACATTGGCATTTTTTTATATAGATTTATATATTTATTTTTATGTTTATTTTATATTAATATTTATATTATTTTCATATTTATTTTATATTTATATTTATATATTATATTTCATATTTTAACGAATTTATATACTGAGAGCAAAGGGAAGAAATGCATTTCTTCAAAATTTATAATTGCAGTTATTCGTCGTGATGTGTTTATTTAATTTTTCTTGGTTTATTACTATTGTCTAAAGTCCCAATACAAAATGTAAGATTACAAGGAAGTTTAAATAAACACAGAGTTATGAGTAACTGTTATTGAAAAAGCAAACGCATTTACTTTTTTCTTTCATTTCTTTCCACCACATATTCACTAAGGTAATTTGTGACCATTTGGATATATACTTGTTCATCGAAAACCAAGAAGTATAATGTTAAACCCTATATATTTATTAGACTGTTTAATTACAAAAATAGTGTTTAACATTTTTGTTGTCATTTCCCGAGAAAAATGATTTTAAAACAATAAAAAATTGCCAATGGTGTATACAACAAGAGTGGCGTCAATTCTTTAGCGATTTATGCAAATCTACAACAGTATATCGAAATCTACCTACTATTTCTTTCGTCTTATTTTCTGTTGCTTTTTATCGCTATTCCCATATCATTAGTGGCGACTCAGTTCTACAGGAGGATGCTGAGAATAGGATGGACTGAACATGTGAACGACGATGAAGTTTTAGAGAAAAGGGAAACAAAAAGGAAACTTATACTTAACATCAGAAAGAGACGATTAAAATTTTTAAGGCACATAATGAGAAAAGAAGGCTTAGAAAATCTGATACTCACAGAACCGATTGAAGGCAAAAGGGAAAGAGGAAAACAACGCATAACATACTTAGTGATGGATGGCGGAGTAGGGATTGGGAGAGATACCAAGACAAAATTAATTAAGAGTTACAAAATAGAGGAAATTGTGGAGAGTCATGATCGCCTACGTCCTGAAGGGACACGGCACATGGAAGAAGAATTGATCAAAATGTTACCGATCGTACTGAAAACGCTAGCATTAGTTAACATTAGAAATAGTGGTGGGGGGAGGAGAATAACGAATGATTTTTTTATTCAATTCATTTCCATTGCAAAACATGGCGGCAAATAGCTTTTGAAGTCAGACTAGGGCGTGAACTAATATTGGCGTGTGGGCAGCAGTAGTAGTACAGCAAAACTAATACCTGTCCATCGAAGGCACGAAGCAAGTTTTGCTCCGCCTACAAAAACGGCGTGGTTCTAACCGAAGAGAATGAAAAAAGAATTCGAACAGATAAAAATGGCGGCGCGTGGGGAAAGGTGGAGGGACCTTTTATGTTAAAGTCTTGATTGCCGCTATTAAATAAATAAATAAAAAATTTCCGAAGCACGGTATTTATTGGTAAAGGTCGTTCAACTTTCGACACTCAGTTTTCAATGCGCAGCCACACTGTTGTTGAACATGATTAACGCTCTGTAGCAGGTCGATTGGTGCATTCTGAACTCCCACCATAAACAACAAAAAAACAGGTCATTACGAAACAGTTAGACAGGAGTAGAATTCGGATGAATCTGATAAGAAAACCAATTAACATCTTTATTTTACTTTTTATCAGAAGAAACATCATCAGCAATGATTCTATTACAGTGTAACCCGGATATAAGAGAGTTGGTCGGGACCGGAGAAGTCTCTTATATCCGGGTTTCTCTTTTATCTGGGTTTGGTCTATTTTGTTTAGGTAAGTATGTCTCTAAATTGGGACCAGAGAAAATCTCTCTTATATCCGGGTTTCTCTTATATCAGGGTCTCTTATATCCGGGTTACACTGTATAATTACGCTTGTACCTCTCTTCGCTAGTAAACACGACCGTTATACATTGCCAGTACTTCATAAATAATGGGTTATTCCGCTTAGATTGCGTAGAAGAGCAAAAGACATGCGCTGCTTGGTTTCAAAGAAACAAACAAACAAACAAACAAACAAACAAAGAAGCAAACGTTTAACGCTTCCTGTCAATACCTCATAAATAATGGACTGTTCCGTTTTGTTCGCTTGGAAAAGTGAGAAAAGGCATTACGTGGTTTCAGTGAGAAAATGAATGAAAGAAAGAAAGAAAGAAAGAAAGAAGAGTTTAACTGCTGTTCCAAGGATATGGCAAAAATTATCAAATTCAAATCTTTTCATTTGTACCCCGTTACTTCCAAAACTAACGACCAGCATTCATATTTATGATTTTTATTGTAATATTTTGTTAAAGTTGTTAAGCACAAATATTTAATGATGCGATAGGAGAATTTCTACGGATATTTTATTGTCGTAGAACACACCATGAGCTTACTCAAATATTAACTTAAGAATTAAGATTCCTCAGAAAATGAAAATAGGAAAACCGTAAAATTTTCACGTGTTAAAACTAGTTGTTATTATTATTATTATTATTATTCAGTTATGTTCCATGTGTGATAAACGTTTAGGCGATCATGTATCTTTCGATACATGACTAACGAGGCAGATTTTTTCCCGCAGTAGGTTGCCATTTCTTTCTGCGGTAAACCAGTTGCCATCTAAGACTATAGAACCCGGTCTATCCTGCTATTTACCCATAGCTGGGGGGTAGAGGGAGAAGAAGAGGATTCATACCTTTCTCAAGGGTATTATCACATAAGTGAATGTCATGGATTCGACTGGAATTCGAACCCGGCTCTCCGATTCCTCAATCAATTTTTACTACTATTTACTATTTTTATTTTTCGTTGTAGAGATGGTCTCAAATAGATACAAAGATACTATAGGTGACATTAGAACAAATTAAATATAGCCATTCAGTAGAAACAAGAAGAAAAAAGGTGTTTTATTAGCCTGAAAATGTCTTTAAACAGATGAATCCCCTATCAGGCTTGACGATAATGAGTCAGCAGCAACAAAGGAAATAGTATCCAATCACTGCTTGTAAATTTAACATTTGGAGAGTGGTAGTGGGGTGGTGGTCAAAGACATCTACAAGTGTGGCATAGGCCATATTTAACACATTGACTGCCAAGCATATGATAACTCTTGTAGCTAGTGGGTGGGGCCTGGCATATATACCGGTATATTTAAAGAGATTAAGTTTGATATAGCTATTCAATATAAACAATAGTAAAAGAAAAACACAATGTGAATTATTCTAATGATTTTACAACAAGCAAGGCGATAAAGCCACCAAGACGAAAGGGTTTACCAAAGGTGAAAGAAACAGAGAGAAAAAGAAAAGAACAGGATATATATTCGATTAATGCAAGTATAAAACTTGTCACTTACCTGATTGATGTTATATTCAGCACCTAGAGTGCAGAATTTCGTAGACGAGCCATTGTATAATTGTTCGCTGCACTCGTTAGGAGGTATCAGCAATTGTCTGTCAGTATGCACACACACTCACAACGCGCGTGCACACGCACACACGCACACACACACACACACACATATGTATATATAAGAAATTTGTATAAATGAAATTCAATTGTACCCCATTTAAATGGCCTTTCGCTCCTAGAGAAAATTCTCTTCTTGAGAAATTCCCTGGAGTTTGTCAATACCAAAACCTTTGATAAAAAAGTGAATCGTGACGTTACGATTCATTTTATTTTTATCAAACGTTTTGGTATTTTTTCTTGGGGAGAGAAATTTCTCTAGGAGCGAAATCGCCATCTAAATGGGGTACAATTGAATTTCATTTATATGTAATCCATTTATATGCTCTGTAATATATTGAGCTCTCTTTTTGTGAATCAGTTCTTATATTTTATATTATTAGGATTCACTTGGATTACTTACCCACAGATATTTACTACATATATACATACATACATATATACATACATACATACATACATATATATATATATATATATATATATATATATATATATATATATATATATATATATATGTGTGTGTGTGTGTGTGTGTGTGTGTGTGTGTGTGTACTGCTGTATATACTGCTATCGCTTTCTTGTAAAAATCAATAGGTTTTTCTTTGTTTATTTTGTGCAGGCCGCTTCTACAGTGTGGATGAAGTCGAAGTCATTGACCAATACCAGGCAGAATATGGCAATGTCATGCGAGAACAATTCGCTAAAATGACGCTGGTTCGTCTTTTCAACCCAGACGATTTCGTTACCATTTACTTCAGTGATCTGAAATGTCCAATACGGCCTGGCATGGGAATGATGGCTCATTATAACGAAGTTTACAATAACAAAAGACAAGGTCTACTCACGGGGTAAGTTTAATGATAACAAAAATGACCCAATGAAATCAACAGCCACTCATCTTGCGTACTAAAAACATCGTAGAAGATCATGGCTCGCTACAGTTTCCTTTTGCTTTATTATCTGTGAATTGCCATGTATTTTTGCGACATATGGTGGAATGTCTTCCTTTCACCTTTCTCACTGTTTTGAATTTAGATTTCTTCCCACCCAAGTCTGGAGGGCTTAGTCTACCTTACTATTTAACCTCTTATTTAGGGGTGAGGTGAAAAAAGATGGAGTCATGCCTTTTCAAAAACATTAGTTCAATGGGGAAAAATAATCGCTCAGTCTGTTTCATGTTTGAATGCAATTTTCAGGTTTGAAGATTGCGTTTAAACCGCTGGGTGTTGACCTCAGTGTCCACTTTTATATTTTTTTTTATATTTTATATTTATATCTTTTTATATTTTATATTTACATACGTTCTGTGCCTGATATTGATCTTTTTAACCTATACCTATAGCATAACTTAAAACTATATTTTTATCATATATATATATATGTGTGTGTGTGTGTGTGTGTGTGTGTGTGTGTGTGTGTGTGTGTGTGTGTGTGTGTGTGTGTGTGTGTGTGTGTGTGTGTGTGTGACCCTTTGGGGCAGAAGTAATTCTGGCTATACACAGATGCCTTTATTATCTGTGAAATGCTATGCCTTCTTTGCAATGATAAAGTGGTTTCCCGTTGCCTTCTCCACGGTTCTGAATTTAGTATAGTCCCCTATGCCATGTCCATTTGGGATATCGGCGATCATGGCTCTCCACATATTCCATTTCATTATTATCTGTGTATTGACATAATTTCTTCAGTGTGTTTTTCCGTTATCTTCTCCACGGCATCTCTTAAACTGGCTGCCATCCAAGGTTAGAGAGTCAAGTCTAGCTTGATATTTATACCATAGCTTCAAGATAGATGATTTTCTTGTTTATTACTTACTCTACTACTACTACTACTACTACTTTATTACTATTATTATTATTCATCCGTGAGTCACTAGAGATAATGTATCTGTGCCCCAAAAGTTATGCCTCTGCAGCTGACGGCGGCGCAGCATCTGTTATGGCTGTTCAGGCCCACACGGAAGTGACAGTCTCGATTGCAACGAATGCATGTGAAGACGTTCTCCTCCGATGTTGCCGTGTTGTTTTCTTTCCGTCGATCACGCTTCACCCCTGCGGCAACCCACTGTTACTCCTCTCCTTGCTCTAGCGCTCGGTGTAAACTGTGTCTACAGCGTGAGTCTTCCTACCTCTCGGTGGCCATGTTCATCGCCCTCATGTCCCTTTTTGCAGACATCCTTGAAGCGAAGGTGAGGTCACCCCCTGTGCCGGTAGCCAGTTCCCCGTACAGAAAGACCTTCGGAATCTTCCCAGCAATGAACTGTTGCTTCCCGCGTTTTGCCAGTGAGGCGACGCTGGAGTGTTCTCTGCAGGGCGCAGGCCTGGGCAGTATTTTATGACAGATCAGTGGTTCCCCATGCAGCACGTCTCCCCTCTCCACGCCACCGATGTAGTTCAAGTGAAAGGTAGAGTCCAATACACCCTGACACCGGCATTTTATTATTATTATTATTATTATTATTATTATTATTAATAATAATAATAATAATTATTATTATTATTATTATTATTAATATTACTATTATTATTACTTTTTTAGTGTCAGAACATAAACGATCATGGTTCTCCACAGGTTCTTTTTCTTTATAATCTGGAAATTAACATGCATTACTGAGAAAAACAGTGGAGTAGTTACCCGTTGTCTTCTTCACGGTTGGAATCCAGTGTTTTAGACTGGTTTTCATCCAAAGCTAGAGACCCCAGTCTACATTGCTATTTAACCCAGAGCTCGGGAAAAAGGAGAGACGGCATCATAGGGCGAAACTGAATGCAATACACTAGCTCGGAATTTGAACTCTGCTTGCCGATTTCACTTTCTGCGCCGATATCCGTCACACTACCTGTACACTACGTATTTTACAGTGCCTTGTATCGGCGAGAGACCTGTTAATTGTAGGACAAAAGGATGGCGATCAGCTTAGCAATGCGAGTCGAATAATTCATTTCTAATTGCTACCTTGGTGAAAATATTAGATTGGTTATATAGGTGAATAGTCTGCACGTTCTTTATCCGTTGCAGACATGTAAAAAGTTGCAGACAGACAGAAAGACATACACTTACAGTGGGAGGAACAAATATTCGTACACATACAATTTTTAATTTATTGTATTTCCAACTAATGAATAAACATACTTTTCATATAATTAACTGTACACAGATGCATAATAACCAAATATGCATAGAAAACAGAAAAAAACGTAGATGTAATAGAAATAAATCCCATTTATCCATTTTAATGGGTGAAAAAAGTATTCATTCAATGCAAATTTCAGATTTTAAAACTTTGAATTTCCTTAATACTGTAGATTATTCTAGTGGAATATTCTAGAATGTTCCAATAGTGTTATCAGTAATTATTTTTAGCCTAAATATAAACAGAACATTCTATAATTTATATTCGTGCACGAAAGTTATCATCATGCCAAGAGGTAAAGAATTCACAAATTCGCAAAAAGAACTGATTGTTAAGCTTTAGAAAGAAGGTAAAAGTTACCGGAAAATCTCTGGCAACCTGAATATTCGTTTTACTACCTACCATTAGTTCATTCATTACAAGGTATAAAAAAGCTCAAAACTGTTGAAAACCAAAGAAATGGTGCTCCACGGAGGATTTCTTTCAAGATCTTCAAGGAAATTAATGCGTCAAATTAAACAAAATTTAATGGTTACTCAGCCAGAGTTGCAGGATGAATTACTTTCATCAGAAATCTGTGTCACTAAACAAACACTAAGGAATGAAATTCATAAGAACAATCTAAAGTCACGCTTCCCTCGGAAAACTCCACTGTAATTGGATGCCAGGTTGAAATTAGTTCGTGAACATTAGGATAAGGAAAAATTATACTGGGAAAGTGTATTATGGACAGATGAAACCAAAGTTGAATTGTTAGGACGTAATTCTATAAATCATGTATGGAGGAAAGATTGCCTTCAAACAAAAGAGCACAGTTCTAACAGTGAACTTTGATGGTGGCAGCATCATGCTGTTTTTCTGCAAGAGATACTGGCAACATATTGGTAATACATGCTAGAATGAATGCCGCAGCATATCAAAATATTTTGTAAACAAATTTAATAATTTAGGTTGAAAATCTTAACCTTCCTACTGATTGGATCTTCCAGCAAGGTAATGATCCTAAACACACTGCAAAATCTGCAAAGAAATGGCTTGCTGAAAATAATGTAAATATCCTCAAATAACCAAGTCAGACCCCAGATTTAAACCCAATCGAGAATCTGTGGCGTTATTTGAAAATTCAAATCCAATCGAGAGCCCCAACAAACATTTCGGTTCTGAGGACTATATGCCAAAAAGTATGGAACAAAATACCAATTAAAATTTGCTTGTCATTAATTGAGAACTACAAGAAAATGTTGGTTGCTGTAGAAGTAAATAATGGCTATTCTACAAAGTATTAAATGAAGATTATCTATTTTTTGTATTGTACGAGTAATTTTATCACCCATTAAAATGGATAAATGGGATTTATTTCTATTAAATCATTTTTTCTGTTTTCTATGCAGATTTAGTTATTAAGCGTCTGTGTACAGTTAATTATATGAAAAGTATGTCTATTCATTAGTTGGAAATACAATAAATTAAAAATTTGTACGTGTACGAATATTTGTTCCCCCCACTGTATATATTGTGTATTTGTATTTAGGCAATAGTCCCTCTTTTATACATGTTTCGTTAAAGATGACTGACAAGGTAATGCGATTAAACTTTTAATTTCATTTTTTATTGCATTCGTACAATTCTTATTTAATTTTATTGCATTCGTTTTCTTTTCTGGATACAAAGTGTGTAAAAATTGTCCGAAGTTTCTGCATATGCAAGCACTTTCGGATATTCTTTTAGCAATTATCAAGGGTGATTTTTATTTTTTATTTATTTTTTAAACTTAATATGTGGGTTTTTATGTATGTGTCTAATATTAAAGGAATTTTTATTATCAAAACACGGTCAGCACATTGTGGCTGTGTTCATACTTAATGATATTGTACTTTTTTTTATTATTATGGCTTCCATTATTTTAGATCTTTTTTTTTTTACTTGTGCATGGGACTATTATAGTTGTATTTTCTACTAGTATGTTTCGGGTGGAGTCTGGTAGGTTTTTGTGTGTGTTTAAATGAGTCAGAATGGAGCTATGGTCGGGTAGGTGTAACGTAAATCGTCTAGATAGGCATGTAGTAGTGTGACTTAACTATAACTGTTCAGATCAAGTCTTGGTGTGCTTCGTCGAGGAATTAACAGCAAGAATTGATATGAACAATTACAGTGAAGTAATTTTTCTTTATATAAAAATAATATTATTAATGCTCTATTTTTAATAATATCATTAATATTTTAATATTTTTAATATTGAACGCTGTATGAAAATATCTGCTTTACTTTTGAACTGTTATATTCTTAAGTCCTAAATCTTAAATATATATATATATATATATATATATATATATATATATATATATATATATATATATATATATATATAAAAGAGAATAAAAAATGATTGTATTTTAAAGAAATTATTTGTCTTACTTTTGGGAGATACTTACCCACTTTCTGGTTGTTTTGTTGTTGTCGTTATTAAAGACAGGGTCAAAGTTGGTTGTCCCTTCGTAGACAAGTACAAAGCCATTTTATAACCGGCCGCTGTAGCAACCTATCTTCCTGGTCAAGACGAGGTCGCCCAATCTCTGGTTGAAAGACTTTCGCAAAATCTCGATTCCAATGGACATATTCAAGATCTCACCCCGGAACTTTACAAATTTGCCATAGAATGTAAGTAGACACTTTTTTTTTTTTCAAATTTAATATTTGTTTTATATCCCGATTTTTTTGGCCGGATGTCGCCCATCAAGTTAAAAATTCACAAGTGTTTAATTCATGAGTGTCTCGCAAGATTAGTTAGGACTGAGAAGTGATTTCCATACTTACTGGGTCTCCATACATTCGGCCTTGTATCACGTCTAAGCGTTGCTTAGTATACAATAATAATAATAATAATGATATATATATATATATATATATATATATATATATATATATATATATATACCCAAGTATATAATTGGTATATACGGAATGAATTCCAATAACCAACAATTACTATTCTTAAAAGAGTGCTCAATACAAAGTAGAGCAGATATAATTATTATTTATAAAAACATTATAACATAAGTATATTTTAAAATCACTACAAAAATAGCCATTTTGTTTCAACACACTCAGTGTCTTATCAAGTGATGATTTTTGAAGATAAAATAAATGGTTTTAAAACCATTTATTTTATAATGTTTTTATAAATAATTATATATATATATATATATATATATATATATATATTAAGAAATAATAACTTACATTAACTGCACAACTCAGTTACATGCCGAAGCAATTTTCAAGACCTTTGATAATTACTTTAGCGTAAGATATTATGTATATTTCATAATATAAATTAAATAGTTCTGTTACTTAACATTGTGCACTGTTTTTTCTTGCCCTATAGAGTATTTTTTATACGATCGCTCGCTCCTATACCTACGTATATTTCCCCCATTCAGATATATATATCAGATATATATATATATATATATATATATATATATATATATATATATATATATATTGATTTTTTAAAAAATAACACTTTCCGTATGTTCACGGTTAATCTTTTGCAAGTGTACAACGTCTCAACTTCAATTGTTTCATATCTATTTATCAAAATATATATTATGAAATGGACAAAGTCCGACAATTATTTTAATATATACGTTATTTTTATACATAAAAACAAGTAAATGCTCTGTTCATAATAAACAGTATTAACGACCTGAACGTTGGAGAAATCCCAAAGAAAGTATGTGTGCTCCTACAGGTATCGAACCTGCATCCTACACGGAACCGCCATATCGCCTGACGTGATATACCATTTAATCAGAAGCTTCCTCTGTAGCTAAAGCTTTCCTCTGTAGTACCTAGACTTTATGAATTTAAATTTAGTACTAGATTAGTGGCAAGGTCTCATCATTTTACAGTTGACATGGCTAGATGTAACCGAAAGTTCTATGCTAACAGTTTTTTTCTATCGCACTTCTCACTTGTGGAACTCTCTTCCGGCTTATTGCTTCTCACTCAACTTTGATCTTCCAAAATTTAAATGCGATGTCAATCGTTATCGTCTGTCACCTTAATTCTTGTTCTTTTATTGTCCTCTCTCCTCAATAGTATATTTTTCTTATATTCTCTGACACTCAGTAAACCGATGCGTCCTAGTGGCGTCATTGCCTTTATGGGGATGAAATGATTTAAAAATAAATAAATAAATCTCTATAAACAAATCGACTTTTTGTCAGTCAGTCATTATGGTAATTAAGCAACATTTGAATTAACGGATGTAATTTGTAATTGATGCATAAAAAAGTGCTATTCATATGTAAAAGTTATCTCCCTTTAATTTTATACGTTTTGTTTTTTCGGTTGAATGAAATGAAGATTTCATTTAACGCTTTCAGTGAAGCCAGTTATCAGCCAAATCCCATCCACTGTTATAACTGGGCCTTGTCTCTAGTACCTTTAACTTATATTGTTATTTCATGGGAGATAACTAGCACTGGTGACGCCAGGAGAGAGTTTAAAATAACAGTAAACTGGAAAACTATATTTAAAGATCCACATTTAAAAGAAACTTTTAATAATAATATTGATGGTGAGAGTAAAATTAACCGTTTCCACAGAGGAAACTTTCACTAAACATTGACCAACCAGTTATTGTCACCGTCATTTGAAATTTATAAAATCTTTTTCTTAAAATAGTTTTTCCAGGAAATTAGGCTTCACTATTTCACTATTTGTTATAGCTCTTTCTATTACTGATAGGAGTTTCCTTCCTAAGCTTTTCAAACCCAACATCTTGATTATATTATTATTTTCACTTCTCGTTATATGTACTACAAATTCTTCTTGCTGTAGCTGTTGAAAATGTTCCAGGGGTGCGCTTTTTGCTATTTCTTTAAGTTGCTTGATATTCAGTATCGTCTGTCCATAAGATCTGATGGAGGATTTAATTTATCGATAACTAGTTTAAAGGCCACACTCTGTGCGGACTTTTAAACTAGCTCCTGCGTTGGGCTGATTGGGCCTCAAGCCTAAAAATAAAGAAACGTCCAATCCAGCTTAAAAAACAGCAATGATAATTTTGAATAAATAACTTTCAATTTTTCAATTCACTTCATAGAAATTTAAAAAAAAAAAAAAATACTTTAACTCTGATTCGGGTTAATTCCGGCCGAAACTAAGATTTGAGCCGAAATTTCATTTCGGGCCGAAAATTGAGTTCTACAAATCACAACTGACGTAAAACTTCAATTATGCTGAATTCTTTAAATCACAAACCCCGCGGAACTTCAAAACATCTCGTCACAAAACCTCTCACTTTAATTCTGATTCCTTGGCATTTTGAAGAAATAGAATTAATTTCCTCAATTCACAAAATTTGGGAGATAAACAGAATTTAAAACAAAATTGTTTAAATTCACAAAGTCTTTGTGTTACTTTAAATTCAATATAAAATAAAAGCTTTTAAAACCACTCATTTTTTTCAGTTATTTTAAAATTTGAATTTTTAACCATTCCCTCCTTATCCGGAAAGGTGTGTCCCGAGTAAGAGGGGTTTCAGACACACCAATTGGACATAAAGTGGGGGATCGGTTTTCTATTGTTATTAAGTGTGAAAATGATCCCTCCTGCATAATGGAAAATATATTTAAAAAGACTCGCATGTGAAAGTATTGTAATTATGGTAAAGCCTTGCCAAAAATGACGGCATGTGTAAACTAATATTAATAAACTATTATACTGGGCATAAAGTGAGGGATTGATTTTCGGTTGTTGTTAAGTAAGAATTTTATTCCTCAGTATTAACTACTCATTAACATATTAATTTTATAAAATATATTCAAAGGCACACATGTGAAAATTTTCAAATAATAGTTAGGCCTAAAGAAAATATCGCGTAATAAACATATTTGAAATTCAAGATATTGTGTTACTCGAAATGACACCAGCTCTTAAATATTTCCACATTTGAATTCACACTTTATTGGCTGCTTTTTAAAAAAAATATGTAAAAGTTGTGATTTTCTTCGTCGAATAATGTTTGTTGTGAAAGGAAAGGCGCCTTCAGTGGAATTTTTTTATGTCTGCATCAAGAAATAAAACACATATTGAGAATATTTACTTCCAGACGACAGGCCAACACATCCGTAGCAATTTACATTCGTCTTTTCTTTCTTTGAAGATTAAATTTTCATTCTTTCTTTCGTTTCTTCTTTCTTTCGTTTTTGAAGATTTTTTTCCTTTATACTATGATTTTTTTTCCTCTCTTTGAATATTATTTTTTTCTTTTTTCGTTTTCGCTTTCCCCTTTCTCGTTTTCTTTCTTTCATTATTTCTTGCTTGATTTATCATTGTTATCTTTCGATTTTCTTTGCGTCTGTTTTGCTGTTTCACCCGCTTTTTCATTTTTTTTTTTCTCATTTTTCTTTACTTCTTTTTTCCGTTTGTATTTTTCTTTTTTTTTGAATATTAACTTTTTTCGTTTTTGATTTTTGTTTTGTTTATTTATTTCTTCCTTCCTTCCTTCCTTCCTTCCTTCCTTCCTTCCTTCCTTGCCAGCTTCTTTGGTTGCTTTATCGCTTTCTTTCATTTTTCTTTATGTCTGTTTAGCTTCTCCGCTCGCTTTATCACTTTTCTTCTCTTTTCTTTCTTTCTTTCTTTCTTTCTTTCTTTCTTTCTTTCTTTCTTTCTTTCATTCTTTCTTTCTTTCTTTCTTTCTTTCTTATTTGATTCATTTCCCACAACCAGGTTGTTTTCCTGATTTCTTTCTTCTTACCCGTGTTTTTCTTTCTTTCTTTCTTTCTTTCTTGCTTGCTTGTTTGGTTCCATTCTTTCTTTCTTTCTTTCTTTATTGCTTGTTTACTTAAATTCTAAGTAGTTAAATATGATACACATATGATATATATTGAACTTTGTATCTAACCACTCAGCCCTATTTTCTTAATCCTAATTCTCTCTCTCTCTCACTCTCTCTCTCTCTCTCTTTTAATGAAAATTAAAATCTTTCACAAGTACCTACGGGCCGTGAAGAAGATCATTATCTGTCCTTCTTCACTTTATCATAAATAGCTGCATTAAAATGACAATTCTATTTAAAGAAAGAAAACTCCCCCACTCACCAATATCGAAATTATCATTTGACGTATTCAGCCGATATATAAAGTGACTTGAAGCGTTATAGACTAATACACGAGGCTGGATCAAAAATCATGTCTATCCACAATTTCTTGTCCTTTGTAGCTCTTAGTAATTTTTTTTTTGCTCTCTCTCTCTCTTTCTCTCTCTCTCTATCTATCTATCTCTATCTCTCTCTATCTCTCTCTCTTTAATTTAACGTGTTGTTCATCCTTTACAAGACCCGGGATGTAATACTCGAGGTAGAGAGTTACGTTAGGGGGCAATGTGTGCAGATAGGAATGGAATGTAACGGTTACCCCTAGTCTTGAACAGGTTAAGATTGTAGTGATCGGGGGAAACATCCTGTTGGGTGTCGCTTCCACAGGGCAGTGGTTCGCGAGAAGAAGCTGTTAGAGTGGAACTTACTTTTCACCGATGGAATACGGAGGGAATGTAGTTGGTTTGCTACTATGGCGTGTTCTTGCCGTGAAGGTTTGTAATTGGCGGGATCAGGCAATGTAATTTGTTCGAGCACTTTCTGTGGAAGTAACGGTACAGCAGCGAGAGGCTTGCCACATCCCGCCTGTGGGAGAGAGGTTGGAGAGGGGAGAATAATTCGTCATCCACAAGGGCTCGAAGACGCTTTTGGACTCTGTCAAAGCTGGAGAGTGAGGTCTGAGCGGATACCATCTAGGACAACACTATTCCATTTTTGGCCTAATCTGGCTCTTGTAAAAGTAGAAAATATCAGGAGGAGACAGGTACTTACTTGAGCGGTACAGGAACCTGACCATTTTACCTGCAACCTTAGCAATGGATTGCATGTACGAGTTCCAGGGGACATTCGTTCATTCTGATTGATGGTAGTTTGGAGTCTGATCGGCGATGATAGAATGAAAGTAGCTTGGTCTTCGAAGCATTGAATGTAACCAGCCAGTTTTTATCCCACTGGTTAGTTTGTGCAAGACCGGAAGAGTGATCAGCTGCCAATCTCTGACCATCAAGACCGTATATAGTCGTATCATCGGTATAAATGTTTACAAATGTTTATATACTCAGACAAATCATTTATGCAAATCAAAAAAAGAATTGACTCGAAGAGTGACACCTAGAGGACGCCTGCGTTGACCTCTAGGAACCCAGCGAACAGACCATTAATGCCTACCTTCAGGAATCTGTTAGGAAGGATTTTATGATTGAAAAGACCCTTCAAGGGATTCCATAGCTGGTGAGCTCGTGTAGTAAACCTTTGTGCCACACTTTGTCGAAGGTCACTGAGATATCTAATGCTATGGTCCTCGAGGTATGTTTGTCGTCAAGAGCCTCAGTGATTCTGTGAGTAATGATAGTTAAGACATCAGAAGTGGAGCCGGCTGATTGAAACCCATACTACACGTCGCTGAAGAGGTTGTTTTTTCTAGGTGCTCGATGAACTAAACCCTGTCCTGCCATTCATTTATACAAGCTAGTTGGGTAGCTCATGCGCTGATTTCCTCTGTCCTTCTTGCCTTCAATACGCCCTGTGAGTGCCAATTTTTCCAAGGCCTCTTTCCTCATTATGTGTACTAGAAATTTCAACTGTATCTTTCTGATGTTAAAGATAAGTTTCCTTTCTGTTTCTATTTTCTTTAAAACTTCGTCGTTGCTCACTTATTCAGTCCATGGTATTCTCAGCAACTTTCCGTAACAAAAAAAGGGAGATTACCCACAGAAAGAAGAAAAGAATATTTCAAAATTAGTTTAAAAAACGGATTTATGTACAAAAATTATTCCCTTCAAAAATAGAGAAAAAAATGGGAAAAAACTTGGAGAAAGGATTTAACAATATGGCACAAGGCCGACATTTTTTCAAATGGCACCCACCTTTGTTCTTAATAGTATGCAGAAGTAGGATATCTCAGCTCGGAGGGGTTTTGTGTTATAAAGTCCACTTGTTTTTTTCTTGGGTGTGAAATCGTCAGTCGTAAGATTTTGTATTATATCTGTCAGGTCGGATTAATGACCTCCGACTGTATTTTCCTTTGAAGTGCGGTGAGCTATGCTTAGTCCGTTCTCGTCAACGGCGCACCCTATCTCCTATCTGTTGTTCTCCTCACGGATCTGCCTCGTCCCCACTACTGCCTGTCCTCTGTCCGCTGCTTCGACCTCTGATTCTTCTTTCTCTGCTCCTTCTTTGATAGCAGTCCTTTTTATTGAAAAAAATTGACATTGGACAGCAAACTTGTTTCTCGTTGGCCAATATATATATAAAATAAATCTCTCCCCAAGTATTAAAAAAAAAAATAAATCTGAACACTTCAAACAATTTTGAAAAATAAAACTTCAAATTCTCGAAGCACTAAAAAAAAGAAAAAAATTAAACCAACAGTAAATAAAATTAATTATGAATATCGTAACAATGTTTTAAAATGTCTATAAAAGCCATGTTTTGGGATGCTCGAATTGTAAAAAAAGAAAGAAATAAATATATATATATATATATATATATATATATATATATATATATATATATATATATCAATTGCATAGTAATTATCTCTGTCTTTCTTCCATTATTTCCTTCAGTCTGCCTTGCAAACCTCTCCGATTTCTTTCATTCAATCTCTTTCTTTCTTCCTTCTTCATTTCTTTCCTTCTTCATAATTTGCTTTCTTTCTTTCTCTCTGTCTTTTATTTCTTTTTGGTTTTCATTCTGTCTTTTTTTCTTTTCTTTTTTCTTTCTTTTTTCGCTTCTTCTGTCTTTCTCGCTTCATGTTTTTCTTTTTTCTTCCTTCCTTGCTTGTTTGCTTTCTCTTTCTTTCTTTCTTTCTTTCTTTCTTTTTACAGTCTTCCTTGATTTCCTTCTTTCTTCACGTTTTTTCTTTTTTTCCTTTTGCTATTTCTGTCTTGTTTAATGTCTTCCTTTCTTTCTTACTTTCTTTCTTCCTTCCTTTTTTGTTTGCTTTTTCTTTCATTCTTTCTTTCTTTCTTACTTTATGCTTTTTTTTTCTTTCTTTCTGCAGTCTTGCTTGAATTCTTTCTTTCTTCCCGTTTTTTTCTTTCTTTTTCCTGTTATCATTTCTGTCTTACTTGATGTCTATCTTTCATATGTTTTTTTTCTTTCTTATTGTTTTTTCTTTCGTTTTCCGTTTGTTATTTCAGTTTTGCTTCATGCCTTTTTTTCTTTCTTTCTTTTTTGTTTGTTTTTTCTTTTTTTCATTCTTTATTTCTTTCTATCTGTCTGTATCTTTCTTTCCGTTTCACTGACTGAAACTTTTTCCAGTTCACAAACGCAACAAATAGGCCTCAAATAGACATTAACTGAATTTAATTATATGCGCCTGTTCACGTTTTCATTATTTTTGTTCATTATTAAACTGACCAAAATTGCATGATCATGTATCTAGTTTACCTTGACTTAAATGGCTGGAAATGTTTTGATAAAAATAAGCAGAGTCTTCTGTTTTTGAAACGTCATTCGAACAAAAAAGACAAAATGAAATGTTTCTCTAACAACGCAATATGTAAGCATCATCCTGCATTACGTTTTTCACGAAAACTGGATTAGTTCAACCCTAGAAATATGGTATCAGTAATATTATTACTGTGAATACATAAAAACGACATATTTATACAGATGTACGCAAAAGTGTTCAACTTCTAGATTTTTTATTAATCTTTCCTAATTTGTGTTCCAAATATTTATCTATTCAATAAACTTTTAAAAAACATTTTAACAGGTGAATTGATAATGAATGAGAAAAAATAAAAACTTTATAATTCTGCTTGCTATTTAGTTCCTTACTTAGATAGTTAACATGTACGTTACGCCGTGCCAAATAAAGGTGATTCACTGTGACGTGCCAGAAGTTTTTTTTCTTGTCAGAATCCATCTTGCACATTTACAAATCTACCATTCGTCCGTGCATTAAATACTACTGTCATATCTGGTCCGGTGCTCCTGCTATACATCTCGAGCTTCTTGACAAAATCCAAAGAAGGATCTGCAACATAATTGACCCTGACCAGGAATCACGACTTCAGTCACTTTCTCACCGACGTGACCTGGCTTCCCGCTGTCTTTTCTACAACTATTTCCATGACAACTGCTCTGACGAGATTTTTTTAAACGGTTGCACCGACTACATGAATTTAAGCGTACTACTAGATTGGCAACTAGGTCTCACCTTTTTGCTGATGAACTAGCTAGATGCAACCGCCACTTCTACTCCAATAGTTTCTTTTCTCTCACTTCACACCTGCGGAACTCCCTTCCTATTTCTTGCTTCTTTGATAATTACAATCTTCAAAAATTTAAATGCAACGTCAATCACCATCTTCTGTCTTCTTAAACCCTGTTTATTGTCTGTCCTTTGCTCAAACCTCCCTATTCTCGGTTTTCTCTTTCACTTTCACTTTCAGTCCCTGTACATTATATTTGAATCTCAAGTAAGGATAAAAATTCATTGACACAACCAGTCTATAAAACCGATATTCACTCATTTTTTTTTTTTGCGATGTGGGTACGAAAAATTTGAATCTCAAGTTAGGGTAAGTGGTCATCTGACGTAGCCAGTGTATACATTTACTATTTACTGGGGATCCGAAAATTTGAGCTTCAAAAGAGTAGAAACTGATATAGACAGTCGATAAAATAGACACTTGTTTAATTTTTCGCACGGTATGGCCAATACTTGGCAGTAAATTTACTTGTCTTTTATTTACTACCAAGTAAATTTTATGTTGCCAATTAGACCATGACCTTATGCCCTAGGTTGTCTTGCTATATACATTTATTTTATAAAAATCAATAATATATATATATATATGTATATATATATATATATATATATATATATATATATATATATATATATATATATTGAATTTTTAGGTCTAATGAATTGGATCGTATTTACGATTCCAATGGAATAAATTATGACCATGGAATATTAGTGTTTAAGCCTTTTTATTATATCCTTACTCTGTCCTGGACATTGAGTTCTACCTGGATTCTATCCTCTTGGAATTATTTTTTACATATATATATATATATATATATATATATATATATATATATATATAATATATATATATATATATGTATGTGTATGTATGTATGTATATATAATTATATAATTTAGATATATGATTGCATATGTATGTGTATATTAACCACTCATGTTATCAATCAATCTCTCTCTCTCTCTCTCTCTGTCTATATATATATATATATATATATATATATATATATGGAGAGAGAGAAAGAGTTGATAGATAGATAGATAGATAGATTTCTGCATAAAGAGCACCAACACTAAAAATATAGTACAACAAAATATTAATGACACAGAAAAGTGTGGAGAATCATGATCACTAACGTCCGGAAATTAAACGGTACATTTATTTACCTAATATATATATATATATATATATATATATATATATACACGTAATTTATTTAACTAATATATATATATATATATATATATATATATATATATATATATATATATATATATATATATATATATATATATATATATATATATTATATAAATATATATTTTCAAAGCAAAATACGAAATTTCGTATTTTGCTTTTATAAAGTCCACATTGGACGAAACGCGTTAGCAATTACTAATTTTACTATTGTCATTTTATTTATAAATATTGTCTTCTCTACTGGTTAAATCGGAGAAATTTTATATATATATATATATATATATATATATATATATATATATATATATATATATATATATATATATATATATATATTTTTGATTTTTCGTTTGAGTGAACCATTCAACGAAGTGAAGAGAGGTAGAAAAAAGACAAGCCTTACTTGGAACCACAAAAGACATGAAGGTGTGGAGAGCCATGATCGCCCACCTCCTCTAGCACATAGAAGAAGAATGTAATGCTACAGAAACATTGTAGTAATGTTATTTTGTTAACTGGTGCACTACAGCAGTATTCATAAACTTGTTAAAATATTACAAAACTTGATATAATGAGACAATATTTTTTCATGCTTTTTTTCTAATGTTTTATTTTCTCTCTATTTCTCTCTTTGTCTGTTTTTTTCCTCTCTGGCAGCCATTGTCTCGATGTGTTTCGGTATGAAACTTGGTAGCCTTGAGAGAAACAAAGCCGAGGCAGAAGAGTTTATCCAGGCTGTCAACACTGTAATGAAAATCACTCAAAGTGAAATCTATGCTTTTCCATGGTACAAAATCCTGAACACGCCGACCCTGAAAATGTTTGTGAAGGCCAACGCCCTTATTCACAAGTATGTTATTTTCTTCATTATCCTTTATATATTTGAATGACCGAGAATTTTTTTTTCCTGTTCGCTTTGTCAGATAGCATTAGGGGTGTTTAGTTTTAATTAACTTCACTTTTCATTGTATTGGAACTGTTGTCATAAAACTGAGCGATCTTTAATTGTAAAATCTTGTGTATAATTAATTATTTATTCTAACACAGAAATGTTATTTATCATGGTATTGTCTTCGTATTGTCTTCTAGTTTGCTCAGCAATGATTATACAGATAGATATAAAGTTAGTTTCTATTAAATGAACCCCAGTCATTTCAAAGGAAAGATAGTGGAGTAGTTCCCTGTTGATAAGTCTACAGTTTTTGAAACCAATGCTATCCGTCTTCTAGACTGCCCAAACAAGGTTAGAGAGTTAAGTTTTCTTTTCTGTTTTGCCCATAAATGGGATCAGATTCTAGCGGAGTTTTTTTTTTTTTTGCGCGCGCGTGTGTGTGGGGGTATTGATTGATTTGTATTTTTTATGGTTTATTATTCCCTATGCGATTTATTTAAAGTTGAAACACTATTTCCATTATTCGGACTATTGTCCTCATCTTTGTCGCCATATTTATTACAATGTTTCGGTCTTCTTCAGGTGGTTGGAATGTCGAACTGAACCCTTTATTTCGCTCACTGGGGTAGACTGTTCTAGTTCCACGTGCCATGTCTAATGGATGTCAGTTATCAGTTATCTCCTGTTAATTCGCCTTTCCAAGTTCTCCGCCGCCTTAACTAGGTATTGAACTCACACTCTTTGGGTCCTGTCACTGGTCTAACTAACGCCTTTATCCACTGTGCCATATGTCCTGAAGAAGGCCGGAGTATACATAAGCATGGCGACAATGATGAGGACAATAGTCCAAATAATGTAAATAGTGTACATAATACCTCATCTCAGAAATATAGACAGATAAAGTTGAAACATAATTCAGGTTGATAGAGAATGGATTCCCATTGCCTTATCCAGTTTTGAATTCAGAATTGTTCTTTTAGGAAAAAGACTGCCCGACCAAGGCTAGAGAGTCCAGTCTTCCCTGCTATTTACTTACGACCAGCTATAAAATTGGATAAAATAAAATAAAAATAAACCCAACCATCCGGCATTGTATGTTGTGCAAAAACTTTGATCACGATTGTCTTCCCTCTTTTTTTTCTTTTTCAAAATGAATCAAAATAAATAAGAGAAACAAATAAAGTGAAAAATAAATAATAATTTACTTGTACTGTATTTATATTAAGCAAACCAAGTTAATATATTTTTGATCCCTTTAATTTTTTCTATTAACATTTAATAGCAAAATGAAATGCACAACAATTACAAAAACAGACGAAACAGCAAAAAAACAAAAACAAAAAAACAAACAAACATCGTACATAGATATATAAAACAGTCGATAAATATAAATACAAAAGATTTATTATTTACTACAAAAATTAAAAAAAAAATATCAACTTAATTATTAAAAATAATATACCCCAACCCTCTACATAAGCACTAATGTCGTCTATGAATAATACTTCCTCAGTCGGAGAATATTTCTCTGTAAATAAAAAAACAAATAGTCTTATATAGGATATATATCAAACACATTAATAGGCAGCATAAGGATTGTCGTATCTGCTACTCACAAACAATACTAAAATAATTACTAAATCAAATATTAAAAACAGATTTATGATCTTAATATTCATACAAGAAACATCTATAAATAAAAACAATTATAACTTAATTAAATGTTGTTTCATTAAGACGGATTATATATAAGGGTGTTTCATTAAGACGGATCAAAGTCAGCAGTGAATAAATCAGTGTTATTGGTAAAAAATTATTTATTTCTCTATTGGATCATGTTATTTAAGTCATGGCAATTATGTATGAAAAATAATATCGCCCAAATATCCGGCAAATCTGAAAGAAAAAGAAAAAAAATCATGAGACGCTTAAACTTAATTCACATTTAAAATCGGTCCAAGTTATAGGAACACCTTTTATAATAACCCGCCTCCTCAATTGCATATTATCAAAAAAAAAAAAAAAAAAAAAATAGAGACACACGTCGCACCTCACTCAACAGAGCAATCACTAGTTCTACGAAATTCACCAATTGTCTCAACCTATCATGATAATAACTTAAGTTGAATTCTTGGACTATATTTCTTGTACTTTTCTTTCAAAATAAACTTTCAATTGTTATCTTGTCATAGTTCTTTTTCTCTAACACTCAGTAACCTCTTGCGTCTTAGAAGCTTTATTGCCTTGCTTGGGGTGAAATGATAAAAGAAACATCGGACAATTTCTGACGGAATTTACTCCTTGTAAGAGAAGGATTATTCGTAATTTGGAAAAGTCTGTCATTAAAATTAATCATCACAAAATGTCTGTTATATTTAATAATATTTGCCTTCAAGAACATTTGCTGCCTAAATTCACAGAATATATATATATATATATATGTGGGTGTGTGCGCGTGTGTATTACAGGGTTTCTACGGCATACTCAAATGCAGCATTCGAAAAGGCCAAAGCAGCTACCCCTGGTGCCGTCACAGCCCTCAGAGCAATGATTTCCATGAACGAAGAAGAATTCTCAGTTTTCGTCAGCGATATGCTCTTCGCAAGTATTGATACAGTAAGCTATTATTATTATTATTATTATTGTTGTTGTTGTTGTTGTTGTTCTTCTTCTTCTTTGATTTCTGTTGCATACTCATTTTCATTCGGGTCTCAACCGGATACCTAAATTCAGGAATGACACATTTACTCCATCGTCCGGCTCACACTTCTCCCCGGTCTTTGGAACAAAAGTAGAGGTTTATCCCTTGTTTCCTGTTTAGGATTGGGTTTCCGGTTCATTTTAAAGTTTTTTTCATCCTCTTTCACTTCCAGTAGTTTTTTGCATCTTAGTGGCATTATCACCTTTAAATTATATATATATATATATATATATATATATATATATATATATATATATATATATATATATGTGTGTGTGTGTGTGTAAAGTGTGTATATAAATATAAATAAATATATATATATATATATAATTATTTATATATTATATACGCGGTACTTATTAGAAAGCGCTCAATATCAGAAATAGGTTTTCACGCTTTTGCGATCGTCAGACAAACGCAAAAGCGTGAAACCCAGGGTCACAAACTCACATCAATCCAACCAAATATATATATATATATATATATATTACATTAGTAAAATACTTCGTAGGATGTACGATCATTTTTTTTCTATTTCCTTAAGATATGGATTGTTAGAGATACTTTAATGAGCCTATCCGAACTTTTTCTAATCAAATTCAGGGCTCCAACTACGGCTGGAATTAGTAATGTTTTTATCAGCCACATTCTCGAAATGTCCATTTGAAAAGTTTTCTGTTATCTACAAATCTACCATTCGTCCGTGCATTGAGTACTGTTGCCATACTGTTGTCATACTGTTGTCTGGTGCTCCAGCTGCTCATCTCGAGGTTCTCGACAAAATCCAAAGAAGGATCTACAATATAATCGATCCTGACTTGGCATCTCGACTCAAGTCACTTTCTCGCCGATGTGACGTGGCTTCCCTCTGTCTTTTCTACAAATATTTTCATGGCAATAATTCTGAGGAGCTTTTTCCCTGGTGTCCCGACTACGTGAATTTAAGCGTGCCACTAGATTGTCATCTAGGTCCCACATTTTTATCGTTGAAATAGTTAAATGTAACCGCCACTTCTACTCCAACAGCTTATTTTCTCGCACTTCCCGCCTGTGGAACTCTCTTCCGTTAACTTGCTTCCTTGATAACTACAATCTTCAAAAATTTAAATGCAATGTCAATTACCATCTTCCGATGTCTTGAACCCCTTTCATTCTGTATCCTTAATACACAGTTTTTCTCTCATCTTTACTCTATGTGTTAAATATAATGTAGTTGAAATAAAATTCATATTGAGGAATCGGAGAGACGAGTTCGAATTCCAGTCGAATCTATTACATTCACTTACGTGCTAATACTCTTGGAAAGGTATAAATTCTTTTCTTCTCTCCCGCCCCAGATATGGGTAAATAGCAGGACATATCGGGATCTATAGCCTTGGATGGCAACTGGTCTACCGCAGAAAGAAATGGCAACTCACTGTAACAGTTGTTACACGTCAAAGAAAATGGACGTGTTTGGAAGCAGCTCTCAAATAGGGAGTGTAGTAACCCCCACTTGATAGAGCATGTACCCGTCAACGTGTTTAATCAAATAATAGTTTAATTTAAAATGCCTTTCGTTGAAATTCTCTTTCATCTCCGGACTCCAAAAAACATTTCGACACCGGTCCGAGAGAAGACGTTATGGAATCAACCCCGTCAACCAAAAGACCTCCCCAGAACGAGGGTTCTATGCAACATATGTAACCCCATGCAGACCAGTGGCCCTCCCACCTTGCTTGGGGTGAAATGATTAAAAAAATTTGCTCGTTTTTGGAAGATCTTCAAAGCTACATTACAATTTGCGGAAATGGCCATAACAATAAGAAAGGACATTCTGTTTCTGTGGTCTTAGATGATTACGTCTGGGCAGTTCTTAATAGCAGATTATGATTATGCCTTTTCTTCTGTTAGTTAACAAGGTCTTTTTGTTTTGAAAAGCCACTAAGATACAAGGGGTTACTGGGCGTGGAAGAATTAGGAACAGAAACATTACTAATGAGCGAGAAGAGGAAAGAGTCTTCAGAAGGACAGTAGATAGCGATTGACAATGCATTTAAATTTTTGAAGATTACAGTTGGCAGGAAAGCATGAAGTCAGCAGGGAGTTCCACAAGTAAGGCAGTAAAGCCACTAAGACACAAGGAGTTACTCGATGTGGAAGTATTGGTGACATTACATTACGAGCGGGAAGAGAACTGAGTAACCATGAGGACAGTAGATAGCGATTGAAATTTACATTTAAATTTTTGGAAATTAAAGTTGACTGTAAAGCATGGAACCGGAAAAGAGTTCGACAAGAGAAAAGTGCGGGAAATGAAACTGTTATCATAGAATTTATGGTTACACCTAGCCACCGAGTAAATTGAAGAGATCTCGACACCAGTCTAGTACTGCACTTAAATTCAAAAACTCTATGTACCATAGTGAAGAGCTCATTCGAACAATTACCATGAAAGTATTTATAGAAAAAGCACAGAGAGGCCAACTTACCACGGTGGGAAAGTGACTGAAGCCGATTTGCCAGATCAGGACTGATAATATTGCTGATTCTTCTTTGTATTTTATCAAGGAGCTCAAGGTAAATAGGAGGGGCTATTGGTAGACTTATAGATATGTATGATAGATAATGGAGAGAAAAATTGTCTCGCACGACAGAGTGATCCAACTTTCCTAGCAACTGGCCTAGCAATGGATTTAATACAGTCTCTACACTTCATGTCAGCTGAGAAGGCACAACGAATCACTTCCCTAGAGGTTAGCATCAGGCATGCTGATGGAAGGCAGAGAGGAGTCTCTCAGTATATTCATGGGGAGAAGTTTAGTTTTCGAGGCATTAAATTATCTAATTTAGCTCGTGCAATTCACCCTGCCATTACACCAGATAAATAATGAACCATTTCGTTTTGATTGCGAGGAAAGGCGGAAGGAAAATATATATCTTGCTGCGTTGTTTGATTTTACTGAGAAAAAGAAAGCATGCCAAAGAAAGAAAGAAAGGTAAGATAGGAGAGTCGGTAACGCTCATATGCAGTTAACGTCTGCTTCAAAGAAATGGAAAACTTTGTCAATTTTAAATCTTCAAATAATGACCAACTTAGGCGATATTTTTCATTTTTTATATTTTTTATACTTATGCGATATTTTTTTGATATTTTTCTTTATACTTATTTATTTATACTTAGATGGTATTGTTTTTAATATTTTTATATTTTACTATATTAATACGCACATTAATTATATCTTGAAGTGCATATGTTATTTTTAACATACGCATATATATATAAATATAAATCAATAAAAAATATTTTACAAAAACCGCATACTAATTTAATCATCGGATTCATATATAAAAATACCAGAATGTTCTTTTCGTCACCATATTAATTTTCTGATGAAAATTAAATAAAATGGAAACATCTTAAATTTATAATCGTTTCCTATTTTTCCTCATCATAACATTTTGTCTGATGTCTGAGTTTAGTCAGTATTTCACCTATATTTAATCCCAGTTCATATATATATATATATATATATATATATATATGTATGTATATAGTATAAGAATAAGTGTTGTTGTCGACACTCTCGTTTGAAACTAGATCGCCAGTAATTAACACGGTTGTTTCCATTATTAAGTAGATCACGTGATCATAAAACATTTGAATACAGTAGCGTGATGACTATACGATCACTGTTCACTCTTCTTGTCTATCCACTATTGCTATACTCTCACTCTCTCTACTCTTCTACAATATGGATTACGGTTCTCTTCTGATCATTATACTATTTGGCGATTACTACTTGAACAAGTATTACTAGTGCGGATATTATTGGAAGGCGTTACCACTACTACCGATGTCTACGAAGTCTCGAATATAACGAGCATTTTTGGAAGTGCTAACGAGCTTTCGCTTGACATAGCAAAAAGTGACAACCGAAGCCGTCCAATATCATATATATATATATATATATATATATATATATATATAATATATAAAATGTCTATTTATTTTTATATTAATTCAAATTCACGGATAAATTTCTTGATGCTGTTAAAAATACATAACTATAAATTCACCCCTGAAGATGATTTTGAATGAGATTGAAAGTATGTCGCCTTCCTTAAAAATTATTGAGGATAAATATATTAAGACAAAATTTATTACGAATATAGCAACAGCATATAAAAGTGCATATAACATTTAATGCCATAAAAGTGTATATAACATTTTACATTCCACTAATTTCTGGTCAGCTTATATTGAAATGCTTGTTTTGTAAAAAAAATTCTGTAACTACAACAGATAAATTTTAAAATTCTAAAAAAATAACACGTGTTTTTAAAATCAATATATCAACGAAACGCAGATTTTATCGCAGTTACAATAAGATTGTCTTTGTTATTTACCCCTGAAGATGATCTTAGAAAAGGTTGAAAGTACTTGGGTTAAAAAAGACTACGGCGCCTTCCTTGATGAATTTTAACTTAACATCAAGAAATTGATTAAACAATTGGAAAGAATCAATATAAAAATAATTAGACACAATATGTCGATATTATTCAATGAAAACACAGACAAATATATATATATATATATATATATATATATATATCGATATATATAGTATATGAATGTTATATATATATATATATATATATATATATATATATATATATATATATATTATCTATCACCCTCTTTTTCAGACAGGTCACTGCCTTGCCTTCGTTTTGTTTCATCTCTCTAAGTACCAAGATGTCCAAGAGAAACTCTACCAAGAAATTAAAAATGCTGGGTTAGATGGTCAGTCGTTGGATTTAAGCACACTGCCTTACCTCAGAGCTGTTCTCAAAGAAACACTGCGGTAAGCTTGATTTTATTTGGTATTTCATTTCATTTGAATGGAGGAATTACGAATGTTTCTCTTGTTTAATTCTTTAGCGTAAGGATCAACGAATGTCAAGTTCTCACCTTACTGTGTAGCGCGATAATCGAAGACGTATTTGAGATTAACCTCAGTACGGAGAATTGAAGAACGTTTGATTTCACATCTGGGTGATTGAAGATTGAATTTAAATGCATGTAATTCCGAAAAGAATATTCCACATGAATTCCACAGGAATATTCCATAGGAATTTTTTTTTTAATATTTACTTCCTCCACGCGGAATGACGCTGAGATTTGAAAACGAAAAAATAATTAAACCTACATACCTAAGTATATAATTGTCATCACGGGCTTCTACAATTAACCGGTAGATTTATGGTACTGAAAGGCACTGGTTGTATTTCTTGGTTTTTACACGTAAACCTCCCTGGTCTGATACACTCGCCAATTGCCTTTGAGTTTGGGAACGATGTGAATACGTTGCTGGAATTAATATACTGGGAAAATGGTCGACTGATTCTACCACTTCAGGAAGTAAGTGACTTCTTTTTATCTACTTTATCTGTACACGAGTTAGATTAGACCAAAAGTAAACAATTTCTGCAATATCAGGGCTGGAGCTACTCAATCTTCACTATCTGGCCTTGATAGCGTTCAAAATCTTTTACGCGTTGTTATATGGGGAGATTTTTTTCCTCATGCGACCTCTTTCCCACAAATGCAACGTTTCAAGCCTATGGCCAGTCTATGGCAATTTCCATGGCAAATATTAAAATGAGCTTCATTCTTTAATATCACCAGCTCAAACCTTCACAAGTAAGACATGCCGACCTATTTCTATGGAGCTGAATCACCCTCAAATCCTCAGTATCTCAAACACAAGAAGAAAGTTCAACTAAGACAACTCTTTCCAAGAATGGCTACTTTGTGGAACAAACTCCCGACTGGATGCTTCCCTCATCACTACAATCTAGACATTTGAGTCAGTGGTCAATTGTTATCTATCTTTCTAAACTTAACAATATTTACTTCCTTTTGTGGTACTTCGACTTTATCAATTTAAGCGCAGTACTAGATTGGCAGCTAGGTCTCATCATTTTACAGGTGAAATTGCTAACGGTATCCGTAATTTCTCTGCTACCAGTTTATTTTCTCGCACTTCGTGCTTGTGGAACACGCACCCGACCTCTTGCTTTGTAGTCGACTTTGATCTTCAAAAATTTAAATGCTATGTCAATAGCTATCTTCTGTCTTCTTAATACCTGTTCTTTTATTGTTCTCTCTCCTTAATAATGTTTTCTTTTCCTCATATTCTTTCAAACACCTCGCCTCTAGATATATTGCCTTGATTGGGGTGAAATGGTTTAAAAAATAGCGTAGTAACTAAGGCGTAGATGTCAGATCAGGACCAATAACATTGCAGGCTCTTCTTTGTATTTTGGCAGCGATCTCTAAATACATATCAGAAGCATCAGACCAGATGTGACATCAATATTCACTGCATAGACGAATGGTTGACTTATAAATGTATAAGACAGAATTTGTCGAGAAAAACTTTCGGAAAACTTTAAACGAAGAAGTCGCAATGAGTCATTCTCTTGGCGGTTAACTTCAGCCATATTGTTGGAAGGCAAAAACGGTGCTCTTAGACGATTAAAAAAGACCAGTTTCGTTTTAGGGACGTTAAAATTAACAAGCCATTTCATGCCCCCAGAACTGAGACATCAAAATCCGAAAGTGCATTGAGATGGTAAAAGATGGCTTCCAAAAAAAAAAAAAAAAGCAAAATATTAAAACGCGAGAAAGTTTCGTTAAAACAAAAGATATGTGTACTGCTGAACTGCTATGTAATATCACTCCTCCTCCTATATGACATTGAATGTTGGACAATTTCCTGACAGATGAAGAGGGAATAGAAATGTGGATATACAAGAAGAGGATGAGAATTCTATGAACGGAGCAACGACGTAGTTTTACGGAAAATGGAAATGAAAAGGATACATAGAATCAGAAAGAGTCAGTTAAAATTTCCGGGAAACATAACGAGAGAAGAGGGCTTGGAGAATTTGACACTCACATGACATACTGAAGACATGAAGGACAAAAAGAACCAGCCAATAACTCACTTAACGTACTTGTGTAAATAGATAGCAAAATAAGATTGGATGGAATAGTAAGGATACAAAATATTGATTAGAGCAACAGAAAAGAGGAAGACGTGGAAGGCCATGACTATTCACGTTTTGTGGATGACCATTTAGTTGATCGATCGGCTGAGAAAGAGCCGGTAGCACAGAATGTTTTGATCACTTATCGACCTAACAGAAATGTGTGTTGATATTTTGTCAATAATAAGTTAAAGGGAGAATGTTTTTCTTCGATACATAGAATTTGGAAGCGGGCAAAAATATGATAATCCAAAGGAATCAAATGTGATAATATGACCTGGAAGAATCCACCGTTACTGACAACCGTCACCCATTCACGACGCGAAAATCCATGTTCAGTATTCAACGGAAAAACTGATGAGAATCCTTTTCTGGGTTGCAAAAAGTATTCTTCCCGTAGAACTCATACCTTATCATCGACTCTCCATCGTATTCAACAAAGACACGTGAAAGTGTGGTACATCTTGATATAATGGAATATGCGTATACCTGTGTTCCCCCTCACTGGAATATGATTGGCTGGTGTCCATCATAAATACCGACGGACGTGTAGGAGAGTCAAGAGAGCCTTAGTCTGAAAGCTAAGTCTATAACGACGTCCATTGGACTACGCCATTGATCTACACTTCTTACCTGCGACTACGCCCCTTTCCAGTCGATTACTGCTACCGTATTCTACTTGGTTATAGTAGCCAAAACCACTTAGCTCCTTCGTTCAAATATATCCCTTGAAGCCCCCCCCCAACAAAAAAAAAACAGCCATAAAAAACAGTGGAATATAAAATAGAAGAAAAAGGGTTGCCAATTGAACCATCGTGTGTCATTTTCATACAGAGGTAGGAGGAAAAGAAGAGAAAGTAACCAATTATTACCTATTGAACTTTGAACTTACAAGGCTTTGGAAGTTGAAGGAGGTTATAATCATCCCAATTGTTGTTAGTGCGTTTAGTATGGTGATTGGGAGAATGAAGGTCTTGAAACCTCGCCAGAACAGTCGGTACCCTCCACAATACCTGACAGACCTAGACTTTGCCAATGATCTTGCATTAATTTCTCAATGTATCATGGACGCAGAATCTTGCTACAATCACTCGAGCAAGCAGCTAACCAGGTAGATATCTATTGCAACGAGAATAAGACAGAACGCATTACAACCACCCCTGAACCATCCGAGTTGAAGTCACTCAATAATACATCCATCAAAAGAGTCGAGGACTTCAAATATCTTGGATCACACATAAAATATCTTGGATCACACAGATTCAAAAATATCTTGGATCACACAGATTCAAAAAAAAAAAAAAAAGACTTCAACATCTGCAAAGCTCTTGCATGGGATGCGTGGAATAAACTTCACAAGATTTGGCGCTAAAATCTTCCATCCTCCTTAAAAGTCCAAACCTTTCGAACATTGATTGAACCATTCCTACTGTATGAATCAGAGACTTGGACATTATCTTTTCATTTTGTAAGACGACTGAATGCGGCATATACGAATCTACTTGGAAAAATCCAGAACATCAATTGAAGATCCCATGCAGCGCTTAACACAATTTACGGATAACTGAGACTAATCTCTCTTAAGCTCAAACAAAAACGAATGCAGTTTGCCGGTCACTGCCACCGAGCGGGCAGAAAAATCGTCTCAATTTTACTCCTATGGAAGCCTTCTGGAAGTCTCTACTGACGAAAATTGACTTTACCAGACATCATATCTTGGGAATCAGGGTTGGACATTGGTGATCTGGGAACATCAACACAGGAGCGAATAGTGTGGAAAGGGATTGTCAATGGAGTTTCGACCAAGCATAGGGAGGTCGAAGGATGATGATGACAGAATGGAGACACGGATAAAGAAAATTGGCATTGGTTATTAATGGAACTGTTGCAGAAATAAAACCGCTTAGAATCGGCAAGGATAATCCGGATAGTGATGAACAATTAGAGTCAGAGGAAAAGTTCATAGTACCTAAGGCTGTGGCAATCCATGCATTAATTGCCTGATATTAAGATCTTACCTGCCGAAAGAAATAATAATAATAATAATAATTTTGAAGAGATCCCGAGTAGCCCATGCGTTAAAGAAATACAAAATCTTGTTATCACAAGTACAGCTCACACATTACGAAGGACTTTATCTATGTAAAATGTGTTTCCTCTTAGCTTGTTTTATTTTTATTTTTTTTTATAAAAATGGTCAGTGAAAATGTCATGGGGCCACTTCTAAGAACAGGTTTCTAGTATACAACAGAAATCAAAGGTAATAATAATAATAATAATAATAATAATAATAGTAATAATCGTAAATCATATTATTATGGAGGTAGAAGTCACCATTTCAGGTAAAATTATAACCTCCGGTTATTGATATTGCTGATTTGATTTTTTACGTCTTGTCAAATCATTACGGGTTACTTAAAGCCGAATTATGTTTTAGGCTATTTACACTATTTATATTTGGACTTTTGTATTCATCTTTGTCGTTGATAACAATAGATGAAGGCAATTGTCCGAATGCAAATAGTGCAAATAAAGATGACTCCTTATCCCAGAAATTCGGACAGATATTTTGTATTGTAAGAATAATGCTTCTTTCTGAGTGAATATTGCATTAACAATTTTTTGAAGATTTTTCCAGATGCATGTCATATCATTTAACCCAAAGCTGGAGGAAAATGTGTTTATACCTTTTCCAAGGGTATTTGTCGGGAGGAAAAACGCTTTTTATGCTGTCAAATGTGATAATAAAATTATTTTTCTTTCACAGACTCAAACCTGTGACACCCTCTGTTGGTCGAGTTCTCTCAAAAGATGTCTTGGCTTCTGGTTACAGATTACAAAAAGGGGTAAATATATATTTAAAGATTTCTTTGCAGCAGGCCGAACTTCTATTTATTCATAGTGATAGTGACTGTTATTCAAATTTCCTAGACTAAAATCTTCTAGTAGACTCCATAACTGATTCCGAACATTACAAAAACCGATGGATTGATCTGTGCTGGCCAACAGGATGAGCGGCCATGCACATTTTCAGGCATTTCTGTCGTGGTTTGTTCACCTTGAATCGACAATCGAACGGTCTGGAAGGTTGCTTAACACGTAAAACAACCTGTTCGCTACGAAGTATTTCGAGGGACACTGTAGCAGATGTGTTGAGTTTCGTGAAACACTTGATATATATTTGTTGCTCGAATTTGCCAGCAATCGTAACAGAATATAGCACACCCACCCCTGAACCGTCCGAGTTGAAGTCAGTCAATAATACATCCATTAAAAAGTTGGGGACTTATAATATCTTGGATCTCACATCATAGATTCCTAAAAAGACCTCAACATCTGCAACGCTCTTGCATGGGTTGCGTGTAACAAACTTAACTCATGGGTTGCGTGTAACAAACTTAACTCATGGGACCAAACAAAAGCAACGGACAACACCGACCACGACAAACTTCAACATCTACGAGTGTGCTAACGTCCGAGGCGGCGGCGTTATCGGCGACGATGGCGATTGATTCGACTTAAATCGATTGTAAATATTAACGCCTCCAAAAAGAAACTGCTGTCTTTTAGTACTCATAAAGAACCATTTTACCTACCAGCAACATGACTGATGCTAACCTCCTTCTTAGACGAGGTTAGCATCAGTCATGCGCGCGCGTCTTCTTGCGCGTGCCTTCTTGCGCGCGCCTTCTTGGTTTCACCTTTTCCACTGACTATATTGAATCAATTGCTAGATCTACTGCTAGAAAAGTTGGTTCACTGTGTCGTGCCAGAAAATTTTTTCGTCAAAATCCATTTTGCACATTTATAAATCTACCATTTGCCCGTGTGTTGAATACTGCTGCCATATCTGGTCTGGTATTTCTGCTATATATCTCGAGATTATTGATAAAATTAAAAGAAGGCTTTGTAATATTATTGGTCGTAACCTGGCATTTCGACTTGTGTCACTTTCCCATCGCCAAGTCGTGGCTTCCCTCTGTCTTTTCGATAAATATTTTCATGGAAGTTGTTCTAATAAACTCTCCTCCTTTATGCCTCGACCGCAGGGATTTAAGCATACTACTAGATTGGCGAGTAAGTCTCAGCGTTTTAATGTTGAAAATAGGTAGATGTAACTGTAAGTTCTATTCTAATAGTTTCTTCTCCCGTGTGTCTCGTCTGTATAGATCTCTTCCGGTTTATTGCTTGCCTGCCACATATAATCTTTAAAATTTTAAATCGAACGTTATTAGCATTCTTCTGTCTTCCCGAAATTTGTTCTTTTATTGACCTTTTTTTTCTCATTAACTTCTTATTTTCTTTCACCCTTGATAACTCTTGATGTCTTAGTGGCATTATTGTCTTGCTTGGGGTGAAATGATTTAGAATTTCACGTAACCATGTGTTTTCCAATGCCTTACAACGTTCATATATGTTAAGTATCTGTGCGATGTCATGTGACTTGTGACATAGATCGATTTTAAAGAGTGTTTCGATTTGGTCATCATCAACGATAGTCGAACTTTCTCGTTATTCCAATCAAAATTTCAACTTCTGAGTGATGCCCCAGTTTCGACCCGCATGAAAATTCCAACAAATCCACTAACGCAACGTACCGTATCGTCGAAGGCCACATTCTCCCTATTCAAGCGAGTGAAACAATTCTTTTATACATGGATTATGCAAGAATTTCCGCACAATTTGATATCTGTTTTATGAAGATTTCTTAGAGAGGAAAAAGTTGAAATGCAATCTCATCGAGCAAACCGGTTTTTGGACACCGTAAAGTGTCAAAGGGCACACCTGCGACATGGTCGAAGCTGTATTAAAGCAAATGAAAAATACTTCCTGACATGCATGAATTGATAAATTCAGCAGTAGCAGCATTTTACCCTTTCCGGAAATAAGAGCTTCAAATAAGGAAAATGCATCTCATTTTCCTCAATTTTTAATTTAAGAAAAATTTAATCTTCAAAATTTGCACGCGAATCGTACGGAACAACGCATTGAAATGCCACTTTTCAGAATACGTTCATATGTCAGACATTTCAGTCACCTGAGAAACAAAGTCACGTGTGAAACGAAATCACTTGTTCAAACGTCACGAACTTTTGTTACAACCCAATAGTTTCATCTGTCCTTTTATGTGCCATGTCCCTTCAGGACGTATGCGATCATGGCCATCCACATCTTCCTGTCCATTGTAGCTATAAGTTTTGTCTTCTACCATCCATTTTCTCAAGCTCACTCATCAAGTATGTTACGCACTGCTTTCCACTATCCCTCTTTCCCCTTAATCTGTCTTGTGAGTATCAGATTTTCCAAGCCTGCCTTCCTCATTACATACCCCAGATATTTCAACTGCCTCTTGATGATGTTAAGTATGAATTTCCTTTTTGTTCCAGGGTTCCATATTTTTTTGTTTCCATTTTCTCCAAAATCCCGTCATTGCTCACATGTTCGGTCCTCAGCAGTCTTCTGTAGAACCACATTTCATGTCTCTTCATCTTTTCTTTTGTTCTTCTTTCATGTACCGTCTCCTTTCATTATGTAGTCGATCATGGCTCCCCATTTCCCCCTATACCTTGTAGTCTTTTAGCTACTTCTTCCAAACCCTGTTCCATCATCCATTTACTCAAGCCCGCTGCGTGTTGTTTTCACTTGACTCTCTTTCCCTCTATCCGCCCTCTGAGTATCAGATTCTCCAAGCCCTCCTTTCTCATTACGTTTCCCAGAAATTTCAGCTGCCTCTTCCTGATGTCCAATATAAGCTTCCTCCTTCTTTGCATCCTCTCCAAAACCTCATTGTTGTTCACATGTTCGGTCCATGGTATCCTTAGCATCCTTCTGTAGAACCATACCTCCGTTACCTTGAGACTCTTCTTCATCTTTGAGGGGACCGTCCAACATTCGCTGCCGTGAAGGAGGACAGATATCACGTAGCAGTTCAGTACTCTTTTTTTTTTTTTGTTACCAACGAAACCCTCCTGTCTCGTAATACTCTGTTTAGCTTTTGGAATGCATCCTTGGCCATCCCAATCCGTCTTCGGATCTCAGCATCGCACCTATCGTCCCCCGTAAAAACACATCCCGGATATTTAAATTTCCGCACCTGCTTCATTTTAGTGTCCCCGACCTGTAAATCCCATTTATGCTTAGTCCCTTCTTCTCGCTCTCCTTCGCTAGCTTCTGTAGGGGGTTTTGTAATTTCCTTTCCGTGTTTGCTATCAGCACTGTGTCATCTGCGTATTTTATGTTGTTAAGATTGTGGCCGTCAATGATGAATCCTGATAAGATTTCCAGTTGTCTCAGTGTTGTGGATTCCGGGATGAAATCCGGTCTCAAATGAATGACAAACGCAGGAATGAAATATAGCAAAGAAATGTATTGACGTAATAATAAAATTGGTAATACGGTTAGTAGATCCAGAAATGCGGTTAGTAGCAATAATAATATATATACAGTCTGGGAAAATCAGTATCGAAGTAAGACTTCCTTCTGAGTCTACGTGCTCGCAACTGTGACTCCTACAAAGCGGTTACCTCAAACTCTCACTGTATCACTGTATCAGTGTATCTCTGTTACTCACTCTTCCTTAGGTATTCACCGGCAGCAGTACAAGTACACACTGATCGAGTAGGTTGAATAAGTCCGGTAAGAAGACACATCCTTGCCTTATGCCCCTTTCTATTTTTGTATATCTGCTGAACTCATTCTCTATCTATTTCCAGACCGTTTTCTACCAGTATAGGTTCTTGATTATTCTAATATCTTTCCCAAACATATCAAGGTTGTAGAGCATTTCCAACAGATCTTTGTTGCGTACTTTGTCGAACACCTTTGCGTAATCTATAAAACACAGGTGTACGTCCTTCTGCATTTGTATTTCGTATGTTACATGTCTAAGTTAGATATTACAATTATAATTTAAACAGAATCATCTTTTAAAGAAAATCGGATTAAAATGAGCAAATTAAAGAAATTAAAAGAATTAAAAAAAATATATATATATATTTAATAACAAAGGTTTCCATTTAACCCGTATCAGCCTGATGCCACTTTTCATATAATGTAACAATTTTGATTAAAATTTGTATTTTCTTGATTTTAAATAGAAACCTGAAAATTTCCCAGAATATTTCAATGAAATTTCCACTTTCCAAAATTATAGTTATAATTTAGATATGTGGAAAAAATGTCAATTTAAACTGACGTCAAGAAGATATGGGATAAACTAGCGCGTTCATTTTTTTCTTTTAATATATGGTAGCCATTTTGCTTAAAGTTCGTATTTTCTGGATTTCAAGTGAAAACATGGAAATTATCCAACATATTTCAATGAAATTTTTTTATGAAAAAGTTTTATATCAATATAATTTTTAATTATAGTTTAGATATATGGAGAAAAAAAAAACGGCTCAGTTTAATCTTATGTTAGGAAGGAATTAAGAGGACCTCCATTTAACCATGACCGATTTTCTTATGAATAGTAAGAAATGGTACTTAGATTAATACTGATTTCTATATGTTCTTTTTTTTTATAAATACTTTCTCTTTTTAAAAATTTTCTCAAATCTCGTATATTTTGTTTAAAATATTCTCCGTTATTATTTTCAGACAGTAGTATCATTGCACCATGGATGGGCTGGAAAACAAGAACAATATTTTCAAAAGGCTCATGAATATATACCAGAAAGATGGCTGGACAGTAATACTTCCAAACGACACCCATATGTTTTTCTACCTTTTGGGTTTGGACCTCGATCGTGCATCGGGCAGAGAGTGGCACTTCAAGAGGTTTCATTAGCTGTGATTCGAGTACGTATTATGACCTATGTACTTATTTAATTTTTTTATTCGGCGTTATATTTTATTCAGAGTAGCTGGGAGGAAAGAAGAATGGGCGAGGCGAATCCTATGTCTACCGCATTTATTTTCGCATAAATGCCCTCGGGAAAAGTGTAAATCTGTCAACTCCCCCACTGACGCAATGCCGTAAGCCTATAGCTGTTTCCATGGTAAATGTTCAGACGAGCTCTATTCTTTAGTTCTATCAGTTCAAACATTTACAGCTAGGATCCACCGATGTCCTAGCTGTAAATGTCACTGAAGCGAATCATACTCATTATCTTCAGATTTCATTTTCAAATGTTACAGTTAGAAAACTTCGTGGGCGTGGAAGTATGATAGAGATGGTTTCCCTTTGTTTTTGATATAAGACAAAAACGACGCGAAGAAACTGAGACAGTTGCAAGAATTAGAAGGGTCAGCATGCCTCCTGCACTCAGATTCCTTAATCTGGCAAACCAGCACGTGTTGTTGAAATGCGAGCCAACTAGCCGAGATGCTTTCTGCCTGTCGTCTATCGCTACCTATCGCTTTCTCTTAGAAACGATACTACAACTGCCTCTCCTAGAATAAAATGAGATAAAAAAAAAAGAAAATTGTTTGTCTTTGATGTTGAGTTGGAATCTAAAGAATTGAATTCTGAGACAACACGAAACACAACATAAGAAAGTTCTACCCAAACAACTTTTTCCAAAGAACCGTTATTTTTGAAAAACTCCCAAGAGGGTGCTTCCCTGAAAACTACACTCTTAACCAAGTATAGGATCAGACATCTATCCTCCATATCCTCTTCACTTTCTACTTCTTCCTCTTGCGTTCAAACTACATAACTCTTTCAGTAAGCCTCTACTTTGAGTGGCTCACTGAATCACGCATCTAATTCAGTAACTTACTTTGAGCGGCTTTTGATCCTTGTTAACCTTAGTATTGCAGCTTTGTGTAGACTGGCATCATTGGTCCTCAGCCATCTACTAAATCTCTTATGTGGTGGATCCAAGTTGTCATACTCCGGTAAACAGTTCCAGAGTGTGGAGTTAACACAGCACCACTGGGCAAAGGACCTCCTTGATGCAGGTCACCGGCCAGACCGCGACAGATGTAGGAGTGTGGTGGACAGTTCAGCTCACCGGGGCCTCAACGACTCCTTCCGGGATTAAGGACGAAAGAAGGAGAAAGATTGGAGAAAATATCTCTTCTGTCTTAAGTTATGGGATAAATACCGAATTATACTAGCCTCACTAACATGGATGCTGGCCAGTCTAAAAAAGCTACTACAGTGAATTCAAAATCGCGGAGTCCTGGGTCCTACGCTGTTTCTGTTCTTCATCAATTATCTTCCTGATGTTATCAGTTACCAAATAGGCATTTATGCAGATGACACTACCATTTACTCTTTTCTCAATAACGAATCCGTCAGAGCTGACAAAGTTAATCAGACCGCTGCTTTTGAAAAGGACATTCTATCAGTGGTTAAATGGGGCAGAAAATGACTTGTAAATTTTAATGCCACCAAAACTAAACTGCTCTTATTTAGCCACTATAGAGAAACTTCCCTGCCCGCATTGCTGATGCCCGACTCCGGGGAAGCGTCTCACTTCGCCTTCTTGGCGTTTTCAACTGACTTGATGTGGAACAACTACATTGAATCAATAGCTGCATCTACTACAAGTTTGGTTCATTGTGTCGTGACAGAAAGTTTTTCTCATCGGAGTCCATCTTGCACATTTACAAATCTACCATTCATCCGTGCTTGGAGTACTGTTGCCGTATCTGGTCTTGTGCCTCTGCTATTCAGCTCGAGGTTCTTGACAAAATCCAAAGAAGGATCTGTAATGTAATCCATCCTGACTTCCTTCACTTTCCCACCGACGTGACGTGGCTTCCCTAGGTCTTTTCTACAAATATTTTCATGGCAACTGCTCTGACAAGATTTTTTTTTCAAGATGCCGGGCTACATGAATTTAAGCGTGCTACAAGAATGGTATCTAGGTCCCACCCTTTTACTGTTAAAATGGTTAAATGTAACCACCACTTCTACTCTAATAGTTTCTTTTCTCGCACTTCCCGCCTGTGGAACTCCCTTTCATTTACTTGCTTCCCTGTTAACTAGAATCTTCAAAAATTTAAATGCAATGTCAATCGCCATCTTCTGTTGTCGTGAACCACGTTCATTTTTATCCGTTCCATAATCTCCCCTATATCCATTTTATAATAACTTGATGGCAAGACAATACCATTTTATAAGTTGATGCAAATACAATACCCTTATAGGAGTTTTTTTTTGGGGGGGGGGATTGTATTTCCTCAACCCTCCATAATGTCAGGTTTTGACACAAGGTCGGTTTAATGTAGGGAGACCGAACGCGTACACTTGGGCCAAGGAACAAAAATTGCCCGAGCCCCGCAGCCGTCAATTGCTCTGGCCTCAGTGCGATCACCGATCTCTGTCTCTAGTGGAATGATAGGGTGCGATCTCGGGCAGCTGTTCCCCAGGGCCGGCACCTCTCAGTATAATTTTCCTCAGTTGCGACTCTGTCCTTCGACGTACTCACCCCTGAGCGCACTCTGTCCGATGTCAACTGAGAGATGATAAATAAACATGTCACAAACTACTTCAGAGTAATTTACACACTGTAACATTATAGGAGTTAATGGAAAGAAAATACTATTTTATAATAAGTTGATGCAAATACAATACCATTTTATAATAAGTTGATGGAAAGACAATAGCGTTATAAAAGTTAATGGATAGGTAATACGATTTTTGATAGAAAGAAACTACCATTTTGAGTTGATGGCGAGACAATTTATTATAAGTTGATGACTAGACAAAACCATTATATAACGAGTCGATGGAAAGAAAGTTCTATGTTATAAATTGATGAAAAGACAAGTGTAGATAATGTATATAAATACACGCTCATGTGAATATAAATATAAAACTTATAGGTTCTAAAACTTATCAAACAATATTTTTTTCGTTTTTTCCAGTTGTTGCAGAAATATAAAGTGGACTATTTGTCTGACAGTCTGAAAACGGTGACAACTATAGTCACAACCCCTGTGAATAAACTACCGTTCAGCTTTCAAGAGCGCGAATGAAAAGATGCAGTTAGTCTTCGAGTGACATTTAAATCGCCGTTACTACCCGGGGTCTCTTTCGGAGTTAAAAAAAAAAAAAAGAAGTAATTCGCTAACATAAACAAGAATATCATAAGAGTTTGAATTATTATATTCAAATATGAACCTCAGACATTTATCAACTTAGCGACATTGTGTAGCTCTGTACATATCTATGCAAATATACGCACAAACGTGCGCATGTTAATATATATATTTATATATTTGTGTGTTTGTGTGTGTGTGTGTGTGTGTGTATATATATGTGTGTATGTGTGTGTGTATGTCTGTGTGTCTGTGTGTGCGTGTCTGTGTGCGCGTGTAATGTAGACACAGTGTTGCAAGGACAGCAAAAGCTTAAATCTCGTGAGAAAAACTTTTAAAAAAATCATATACTAACCTTTAAAATCTATCTCGTACTTGGTGAGGTTTTGCGGCAAGTAGCACGCTTTACGTTTAAAACATTCCAACTATGTTAAAAATAGCAGAAAAGCAAAAATGATTGTTACCTCAGTGCAGCATTGCATCTGTTTTCTTTTTCTTTTAGAAATTTGCATTGAAAAAATCGGCATTTTAGACGGAATTGTCCGTGTATGAATCAACACTTCTGCCTCGATTCGGTGCCTTATCTCTGTGCAAAGTGTCGCTTCCCGGCACTTCTGTCTAGGATCAGAGTGTAGCAGTTGTGGGCTTGCTGAAAAGTGACGTACGCATATGCCATTGTCTCTCAGTTCATTTCTTGACAACAACAGAATTGGGAAATGCAAATGGTTCGGGGAAAATATGGGGTATATTCTGAAGAGACAAAAAAAATCCAGTTTTCAACCATAACCCAATCGACAATTGTGCTAAGATCTCATAAGGACGGGAGATCATAGATGATTATCAAGTGGTACACAACTGGAAAAGCATCAGCATGAGAAGTGACATTCACGATTTTAAATCTTGACAGTAACTATTGTAAACGACTGCTGGCAGGTATTGACAAGCATAAAGTAGATTAAAATACATTTCGTAATAATTATATTAAAGTACATTTCATATTAAGTATATAGTACATTGAAGCACATTTCATAACAAGTATATATTAAAGTACATTACATATTAAGTATATAGTACATTGAAGGACATTTCATAACATGTATTGATTAAAGTACACTGCCTATTAAGTATATAGTACATTGAAGTACATTTCATAACATGTATATATTAAAGTACACAGCCTATTAAGTATATAGTACATTGAAGGACATTTCATAACATGTATATATTAAAGTACACTGCCTATTAAGTATATAGTACATTGAAGTACATTTCATAACATGTATATATTAAAGTGCATCGCATATTAATTATATAGTACATTGAAGTACGTTTCATAACAAGTATATATTATATTAAAGTACATTGCATATTAAGTATATAGTACATTAAAGCACATTTCATAACAAGTATATATTATATTAAAGCACATTGAATATTAAGTATATAGTACATTGAAGTATATATATTATATTAAAGCACATTGCATATTAATTATATAGTACATTGAAGTACATTTCATAACAAGTATATTGTACTTTGAAGTACATTTGACAATATTATGTATATATCATACTAAAGTATATTGCATATTAAATATATAGTACGTTAAGTGTATTTCATAATGATGACTACATTACATTAATGTATTCATAATAAGTATAACTTACATGAAAGTACATTGCATATTAATTATATTTTATAATAATTACATTTTATATTAAAGTACATATAATATAAAGTTTATATTATATTAAATTACGTTAATATATTAAATATATAGTACATTGAAGTACATGTCATAATAACAACTATATAGTACATTATACTAATTTTAATAATAATGATGAGTATATAGTACATGAAAGTATTTTTCATAATAATAATTTATATTAAAATATATTTAATAATATTAATTCTATAGTACATTAAAGTATATTACATAATAAGTAGGTAATACATTGACGTACATTTCATAATATCAAGTATTCATTAAAGTACATTTCGTAATAATAAATACATAGTGATATTAAAGGACAATGCAATTGAAATATATTGTAATTTTCGTAATAATAAATATATAGTACATTAAAGTACATTCCATAATAATAAGTACGTCGCCTCCCTCTGTCTGTTCTACAAATACTTTCATGGAAATTGCTCCGAGGAGCTGCATTCGCTGGTTCCCAGACGTCATGAGTTCAAGCGCCATACGAGGCTGGCATCCCGCTCTCACCTTTCACTGTCGAAACTCCTAAATGTAGCCGTCTCTTCTACTCCAATAGCTTCATGTCTCGCACCTCTCGCCTGTGGAACTCCCTTCCCTATTCCTGTTTCCCTGTGAGCTATAATCTCCAGCTATTCAAGTGTAATGTCAATCGACATCTCCAGTTGCCTTGATCTATCCACTACTCTTCTCCTCATCCTTTCTTCTATCACTCCTATCTGATCTTGCTCTAAATTTTCTGTAACCCCTTGCGTCCTAGTGGCTTCCCGCCTTGCTTGGGGTGAAATGCTTAAAAAAGAAAAAAAAAACATAGTACGTTAAAGTACTTTGCATATTAAATATACTGTACATTGAAGCGCTTTTCGTAACAATATAATGCATTAAAGTACATTCCATAATAAGGACATTGTACATTGATATATATTGTATAATAATAATAAGTAGTATTAAATGTCTATTAAATGATGGGAATGGGTGCATACAGTTTTGCATTACGACTCTCACATAAAAGCTATCGCTAAAAAATATTCAGTTTTACACTAACACTTTTTAACTCTTTGCTAAGAAGCTTCAGGTTCAGGGTGTATATATTTGGCGCAAAACTAATACCATTTGATAAAAAAAGACGTGTGAATAACTTCTTTTGTTTTGTATTTTAAGAAATATCCTGAATAGGGTGTAAATATTTGCAACCCACTGTATATCTAGAAAGATACACGTGTATATACGCAAACAAATTGTTATGTATACTTTATAATAAATATATTTATATATTATTTCACGTCTGTCCTGTAATATAATTTGTTATACATGTTTCTGACCATATATAAAACCGTAATCTGTCAGCCAATATATGTGTGTGTGTGTGCAAACATACAAAGTGTTTTTGTTATCATTTATTTTTACCTGTGTAATTGCATGATGACGGGAAACAGGTCTTTCATCAGTGTCTCCAAATAGACACCAAGACACGATTAAAATGAGAGAAAGACTAAAGAAAATGGAATGACCCCAGGAGATATATGTGTAGAAGATGGTTGCATAGTGCCAAGAATTGACATATATGTAATCGGTCTTAATAGAGCGTCGTCCATCGGGAGTGAGGAAAATTTTGATGCTGATTAACATGATATAGATTGAAAGGATACTAGCAAATAATCAATATCTGAGTGTGAGAAACTGTATGGTCGAATTGGCAATATTTTATTGAGTGATAAAAAAATTGTCAAATTGACAATATTTAGCTGGGTGAAATTTAACTAACAAATTGGCAATATTTGGTTATGTGAGATTGAATAATCTAATTGACAATATATTATTGAGTGATATTGAATTATGTTGTAACCTAGGGAAGGTTACTAAATAGAATAATCACACAAAGGTTGGTAATGAATGATAATACTTACGACAAGAACAACACATATAAGATTTACCAGAGGCGCGTAGAAGAAGTAGTCAACTGCTAAAAGTGGGTCAAGTGAATTCCACAATCAATCTCCAACTGCAGGATATCTACCAACCGCCCCACCCAGTCAGATGTGACACAAATCCGAATTTAATATGGGGTATCCGGGCCCGTAGGCTCGGCCAAAAATTCCCCGTAGACCTCGTATAAAACCGGGTCGGGTAGCTGTTTCCCGAGACGAGAATCCGCCCTTCGACATAGCCTCGTCTGGGGATCCTCTCTGCCCAGAGGCAGAGAATTTGACCAGCCCAGCTGGAGACGAATCTCCGATTGCAGACCAACATACAGTATTTACTACTGTAATTATGTAAATCGGGACATACCCATTATCGTCCGTAGTTATGCTACAACAAACTGTCCAATTGACAATATTTGCTTGGGTGAAATTGACAACATTACATTGAGTGACATTGTATGGTTAAATTGGCATTATTTAATTTAGTGAAAATGTGTAGTCAGATTGGCAATATCTGATTGTGTGAAATTGATTAGTTGAATTGAAAATATTTTATTTAGTCATACTTAATTGTCAAATTGACAATTTGGGGCTGGTTGAAATTGAATTGTCAAATTTCGCTGTGCCAAGTTAAAAGGTCAAACTGACAATACTTTATTGCGTGATATTTAATTGTCAAACTGACAGTTTACTTGGGTGAAATTGAATGATCAAGTTGGTAATATTTGATCGGGAGAGATTGAAAATCATATTGACAATATTTGAGTGAAAAAAAATGGGTGGATCAGTTGAAAGGATAATTTTTATAATCATTTTTTTAAACATTTAATCTCTGCACTTTTTAAATATGTTCTTTCTGTATCTTTTTAAAGTTTAAAAATGAATGTTTATGCATATTTATCTGTTTTATTGAATATAAAAATGTCAATTATTTTCTTTAAAATGCAGTCTATAGTTATTACCATCCATGCTAAAATTATAATGGTAAAAGAAAAGACAAATTAATGTTCAGTTGTAACGTCACGAAAGGAATAAGAAGAGATGATTAAGATCTGGAAGAAGCCCATGAATACATCCACCAAAGGGAAAGTGATAATATTAAATAAATGCCAGGAAGATTAAATAAAACAACGTAGAACTACTGGTTGGAAATAATTTTTAACAAGTGACATGATAAAAAAATTACTTTCTCATGATTTTTAAACCATATACTGTATAATGAATGTTTAATTCTAATAAAGACATACGAACGTGAAAATTAAGCAAATCGCTTGTAAACTATAAGGAGAAAT